ATTTTATTGAGCAATTTTCGCATTTAGTTACTTCATCTATTTTTGCGAAAATTGGTAAAAAATTAAGGTGTTCAGGTTTTAATGCCAATCGATTGGAAATTAAATTACGAGCTTAACGAGGTATGACAATTCTTATTTCGAATTTAATTCGCAAGATGATTGGCAAAATACCAATTTTTTTGGTTAACGGTCCCCATCACTTATTGTAAAATTAATTTTTTGACCAAGTTTTGCAATTTTTAAGGGGTTATCTTTTTTTTGAAACCTATCATGATTCTTCCGTCCTTTTTCTCTGACTACTTTTTCCGCTTGCCACTTCTCGACATCCCATGCATCCGCTTTCCTGCAGCAGGACCCCCTTTTCCTCGGGCTGCTGCTGTTTTCCTGCATTTCTTTTTCAATTTCTCAGTGTGGCTTGCGGTTTCCTTTTCCCCAGCCCATCCCGCTGATTCCGGACTCCCGACTCCTTTCTCGCCTTTTGTGTTGGACTCGGACTGCGACTCGAACTCCACCCCCTGCACCCCTGCTGTTGCCTATGCATAATTCTTTTATCTCCACCAGGCCCCTTGCTGAGCTTTCTCCTCCGTTCTACCCATTCCTTTTCCCCTTCTTTCCCCCTTCCCTGCCGCTGCTCTTCTCCTGCTATTGATGGCTTGTTTACATTGTACCGCGCTCGCAACTCCCAGGCCATTTGTCTATAATTGACTAATCGACAGGGCAGGCGGGAAAAGGAGCACGCGATCTGCTGGGGGCGGGGACCTGCTGGGAAGGCTGCAAGTGTGAATGGTAAATGGTAAATGGCCAAGAGCAGTGGATGGAGCCAAAGGAACTGTGTCATTGGAACTGCAGGCGGCGATAGTTGAAGTTTATGTTTAAGAGGTCTTTAAGTTCCCTCTACAGTGGCTCTAAGAAGCGCAGTCCAAAATATGTATATTCACCATTGGACCAAATTGTAATGAATACTTTTCCAAGCGAGTTATCACACATTTTATTAAGTAAAAAGATAAACCCACTGCACTTTATAAGACTAGAACTTATGAAAAGGATTTGTATTTAAAAATCTTGAATTCACAAGACTTTAAAGTCAAACTTATCTCGTTACGATTATAAACTGTTGAGCATTAATGCTTTTAAAGTCAACTCGTCGAATAGCAGCCAAAAGCTGCACTTTGCGGCTGCTAAGCCACCCAAAAGAGCTGCCAAAAGTCAGGGCCAGTAGCCAACCAGCGAACCTGGCCAGAATCGTAGGACGGCGAAAGCGAATTGAATTAGCGCTGAATTCCGTTCTCAATTAAGCGTATAATTTCCATTGTGAGTGTGTTTGTTTCGGCCATAGGTTCATAGCTCTGTGTGTGTGTGTATGTGGCCATTTTGATATGACCAGTTGGCGCAAATATTGGCCAGGTGACTGTGCGGGTGTGGGTGAGAATGTGGGTGAGCTGGTCTCGCTGTGCGGTTAATTAGATTGCGAGCAATAATATTGCATGAGCCGGCAATCGGGCGACTTTGCTCCCCGAGGGCGCAGAGGGGCGTGGTTGGGCGGTGGGAGGCTGCTGGGGAAGGGGAGGTGAAAGTGGCCACGCACACACTGTTACCCTCGTACGCTGTGTACACTTACATGTAATTAGCATTTCCTGTTTGGTTTGCCAATCTTGCACGCACACACACGCACACACTGTTGCAACTGGGGAGTGAACGGAACGAGAGAGAGGGAGACGAACATAATTAGGCTGGCCAAAAATCAAACGCCATCTGCATTCAAATTCAAATTGAGATTGCTGCGCAAATTCGGTTGCATTCAGCGTTTCAGTTACACTGATAAAAATACCAATATTTAAGAATTGGGGTAAAGTTGTTCCGAAAGTCTCTGGGAATAAACTTACTTTAAATGCTACCATGAATTTCTTTTATTTATAATTTTATACTTCTGCCATTAAAATACTTAAAACTAATAAGTACTAACTTTATATTTTCAGGTATTGGATGCAACATAAATAGTGGTGAATATCCTCCATAGACGACTCGCCTGGATCGGACAGAAAAGGGAATACTCCAAGTCCAAATGTTGCTATGCATTACAAATATATTTAATTATTTTATTTAATTCTTCATCACAAATATATAATATGTAGTATTAAAAAAAAATGTAAAAAAGTTGAAATAAAATGTATTTATTTTTAATGCAGTGTTTTTCTTATTTTAAGGCTTGGCTTAGGGTTTATTTTGTAGCATACTCTTGGGCCGTCTATGTATTTGCAATTTTGAGTAATTTTTTTGTGGCATACTTTTGGGCTGTCGATGGTTTTGCTTAAAATGGGTCCATTTGCTGTGGCATACTTTTAGGCAGCAGATATTTGCGATTTTAGAATTTTTTGTTGCCGCCTTTTGGGGGCTGCCAAGTTCTCAGATGGCGCAGCCACCTACTGAAAATTCTGTTCGCCTGGTACTTCAAAATTTAAAATCGACAAAGAATCTCTCGTTTTGTTCGATGAAACTAATCAAAAATTGATTCATTTCCTCATTTTCGGTACCAGGCGAACATGAAAGTTAGTAGGTGTCTACTGGGTTTTATGATTTAAGAAATGGCGCAACCACATCCTGCAATTTCTGTTCGCCTGGTATTTTAAATCGAAAATCTCTCGATTCGCCCGACAAAATTGATCAGAAATCTGAAATTCATTGGCAAAGTTCTCGCCTTTGGATACCAGGCGAACATAAAAATTAGTAGGTGGTTATTTTAAATATATTTATAATTAATGCCTAAAAGAATGCAATGTTTTTTATTTTAAAGCTTGGCTTAAGGTTTATTTTGTAGCATACTCTTGGGCCGTCTATGGATTTGCAATTTTTAGTAATTTTTTTGTGGCATACTTTTGGGCTGTCGATGGTTTTGCTGAAACTGGATCCATTTGTTGTGGCATACTTTTAGGCAGCAGATATTTGCGATCTTAGAATTTTTTGTTGCCGCCTTTTGGGGGCTACCAAGTTCTCAGATGGCGCAGCCACCTACTGAAAATTCTGTTCGCCTGGTACTTCAAAATTTAAAATCGACAAGAATCTCTTGATTTGTTCGACGAAATTAATCACAAATTGATTAATTTCTTCATTTTCGATACCAGGCGAACATAAAAGTAAGTAGGTGTCTACCGGGTTTCATGATTTAAGAAATGGCGCAACCACATCCTGCAATTTCTGTTCGCCTGGTATTTTAATTCGAAAATCTCTCGATTCGCCCGACAAAATTGATCAGAAATCCGAAACTCATTGGCAAATTTTTCGACTTTGAATACCAGGCGAACATAGAAAATAGTTGGTGTCTTCTGGGTTTCATGACTTAGGAAATGAAGCAGCCACATCCTGAAATTTCTGCTTGCCTGGTGTTTTAAATTAAAAATCTTTCGATTCACTCGACAAAATTGATCAGAAATCCGAAAATCATTGGAAAATTTCTGGACTTTGCATACCAGGCGAACAAGTGGAAGTCAGTTCCGTAAGTTTGTTTTTCTCACGAGTTAGACACGATGGGCAAGACCTGGGTTGCCAACCACAAAAGCCCAAAAGTAAGCCGCCCTATACCCTGCCCCCAAAAAAACAAAGTGGCATATCGATTTTATTTTTATAAAGTGGTATTTATTTTCTATAGCCTACTGTTACTATGAATACGATCTTACGCTGCAGTGAGAAAACTTAAATATAACCTATTGAAGAGATCTTTTATTTCCGATGAAGCTTATTTTAAACAAACCAAAATATATTTGCAGTGCAGGCCGAGGCTCGACAGCAGCTTTGGGTTTGATTCCGCTGCAAAAGGATATAGATGGGCCAAGAAATAAACCGTAATAAAGCTGAAAACACAATAGAACGCTAAGCCAAAGCCAACCGACAAATCAACCGAACGCACTGACCACAGGAGCATGAATTTTATGCGGTTTTCGAGTTTCGAGTTGCAACCATCATCACCTGCGGCTGTGGCGTAATTGCAGATTTTAAATTTTAAGCCGCGCCTTTTATTCCCGGATTTATGCGCATGCATTATGAATGCCATGCATATGCCGCGGAATGGCTTTGGGAATAGAGAATTTTAATTAGTTTGCCGATGCCGCATTTTGCATTCGTATATTCTTTTTCCGTTGCCCAAGAGCTGCGAATTTTCAATCAGAAGTCGGGCTGCTGGCAAGTGGTGAGGACCGACTCTTAACCTCGTCAGCATCAACTAATCATCACCATCAGCGTGCAGTCCATAAACTGCCCCTGCCGTTTCCGCCACTCTTACCGTTTCCGCCGCTTCTACCGATTTTCCAGCCCACTTTCCGCCTCGTGTGTGCCATATAAATAAACATAATCGGGCGGTGGTAGGCCACTTTAATGCTGCGAAATTTTAATAGTTCACGTAAATGGTTTTTGTGGCGTTGGTAATGTTTATTAACCAACTTACCCGCCCGGGAACTTGCGAGCGCTGCTCTCCCGAGCTCCGAGTTCTTGGTTCCGGGTTCCCGGCCCCCGGCTGCCATCTCCGTTTCTGGTCCTCCAGTGGAGCGTGTTTAATGCTCACTTAAGTTGCGTTTATACAAATTTCTTCCCTCAGTCCCACCACCACTCTGGTCTCCCTTTGTTCTTGGTCCTGTCCGGTGCCTGCGAGCTGCCTTGGTTATCCTTCGGTTCTTTGGGCACAAAGTTTTGTGCGGAGTGGCTTAAGGTATCCTTGGAGGACTTTCCCCTTTGCTGCTGCTCCTGCGTAAAGTGGATTCATTTGTGCCCGGCTCTAAATGCTTTGTTGTTTACATTCCTGGAAGTTTTGAGTCTCACGTCTTCGGCACGCTCCCGGTATCGCAGGCTCCTTGCCCGTTTCCCATTTCGCCTTTGCCAACCATTCAGCTGGAAGAGCCCTTAAAGATGGCTACAGTTTATCCCAAAAAATAGGGGTATTTAGTCAACCGATTGCGATTTAAGATGGGTTGGTAGTATACCAGGATTACAAGTACCATAAGCTCTCAGCCCTCTTAATTTTTAATATTTTTTTGTAAATTTTATTCTTTAATCACTTTGTTCTCATATCAATTGTGGTTTATTAGCTACGCAAAAAAAAACGAGCAAAGAAAATTGGGTTTCCTTCACACGGGTTGTCCTTATCAGCTAGTAACTAACATTAATACACTGAAGTATGTATCTGTATCTATACTGTATATCTGTATCTGTATTTGTATATGTATATGTATTTGTGTTTTTTATGCATAGTCGTACACCTATCGAATAGTTTTAGTGGGAGCATAGAATGCCCAAACTGTACACGACTCTCCTCAACTCCAACAACAATTTGACTAAGCTGCTATAAAAAAATTAAAATAAAATAAAATAAAATAGAATACATAAGGAAATGTGCGTGGTGTATCTGTGTGCTTGCTTTGAGTGTGGTGCATGTGTAGGTGTATGTACAAGTTAAAAAACATATGGTAATGGGTGGCGATTGGGGTCAAACACCATAAAAAGATTGGGTTGAGCAGCTTCTCTTATTCTCGTCTTCCCCTGTTCAATATCCTGCTAGTTTATCCGATTTTAATCGGCCTAATCCGCATATAGTTAGCTTTATCTTTAGGGCCTCGTCTTTTTCTTTTTCGTTAACAATTTTCCTATTTACAGTTTACAACTCAAACTTGTTCAATTTGCTTTGTATTTTTAGTTTTTAGTGTGTTTTAGTTTTCTTTTGCTTAGCATTAGTGATATTTTTCGCTTGCGATTTTTTAGGGGGCCATTACATGCCTATACAACAACAATAATATCGATTCTATCCAAATGTGAAACAAAATTCGCTTGAAATTCCCTCTTTCGATTTTATAATTCTTAATAAACATCATCAGTCTTGAACTTAGTTTAGGTTTCCTTCACTTTGCTACGGTTTCTCCTTTCCGTTGTGAGCTCAAGCAAATATTGTGGGTCTCGTTTTTTGAAAAGTTGTGACCTTGTGTCTTTTTCGTTTTTGTGAATGGAAATACATTTTTGGGATGTAAGGAGGGGATTTAAGGGAGGGACGGGACGGGACGGGCCTCACTACAATCCAGGTTCGAAGGCACAATTTCAAAAGTGTTCTCTCCCAATTCAGCGACTAACTAACGCCTTTTCTATACACTAGCCATACTCCAGTAGACCCTGTTTCTGTCCCTGATTTAAATGGAACTCTAAAACTTAAGAAGTTAATCATTTCACAATCCCTGGAGATATTAAAAAATTTCATAAAAACATTATTAACTTATATGTGATACTCAATTGAGTGGCTCTTATCAACGGTTTGGTGTACGCAAATAAAAATCCCATCGAAATTCAATCAAAAACAGTGCCTTCTGTCATATGGGTTCTAAATGGGAAACATGGGCATACTAACTAAACTCAGATACGAGTTATCTCCGCGCAACAGAAACTCAGGGATTAAAGGACGGGTTCTGGGTTCGGATTCGGACTCGGATTTGGATTCGGATTCAGAGTGAGGAACTCACGGCATCCTTGTACCGCCTTACACAAAGAACTCCTCATTGCCGAGGCTGCCGCCGGATGCTTCAACCAATTGCCAGGGCCAGGACCATCCGCCTCCTCCGCCCCCGAGGAGTGTGAATCACCGCTCCGTGGAGTGCGTGGTGGCTCCACCGCCCAGGCCGCTGCTGCTGCTGCCCGATCCCGAGCCGGAGTTCAGGCCTTGGCGACGAAAGAAGCCCAGGGTATCCAGCGCCTTGATGGTGCGTCGGATCAGCTCATCCTTGTACTTCCAAATGGTCTTGTCTTCCACCGAGTGCTCCCGGTACTCCTCGCAGCTCTTCTTCAGCGTCTTGACGCAGTCCGCCCGATAGTGTTGCAGCTGGGCGTCCTGCGTGTCCACCGGATAGGACTTGCACACCCCGCCCAAACAGCTCAGCGGGAAGTGATTGTGCAGGGTGAGCACGCGCTCCGGGTCGTGGAAGCACTTGACGTACTGATTCGGCTTGGTATAGTTCTTGGCCCGGTGGACGTGCTGCAGCATGTGCATGTACTTGGGGATGTCCTTGTGCCAGCCGTGCTCGTGCTGCTGGTCGTCCAGGAAGTACACGTTGCGGAAGTTGTAGCTGTGGAAGCCGTCGGGCTTGATCTTGCGCGACTCCGGGCGCACCTTGTCCATCAGCTCCGACCACAGGACCGCTCCGCCCTTGGGCATGATCACCTCGTCGATGTCCAGCAGGGCGATGTAGTCGTAGAGGTAGAGGTTCTTGTACAGGCAGTCGTTGTACGGGATCACCTCGTTCTGGCGCTTGTGGTTCGTCTTCTTGGTCAGGTAGAGGTGCTGGAATCCGGGTACGTTCGGCTGACCGCCGGGCAGGGTCAGCGGGATCACCTGCACCTTGCCCTCCTGCTCGTAGTGGTTGAGCACCTTGGTGATATTGGGGTGGACCTGGCAAGGGATAGATGGAGTCAGATGGATGTATGTTGATAAGTGAATACCAGTATTTACATAGGAACAGGTTTTACTCTTCTAATTAGTAACACTATTATTCTATTACCTGTAGATTATAGAAGTAGATCTTGTCGGCCCCCAGGATGTTGAGCATCTCGATCCACTCGATCAGGCGCACACTCAGGTCGTCGTAGAGGAAGTCCAGTCCCTTGACACACACGGCGAATCCCTTCTTCTGGTCGTCGGGCGGTCGGTTGTAGATCACCCGCAGATTGTTGGTGGCCGTGTCGCACTCCTTCTCCACCATCGACACAGAGCTGGGGACCACGCCGTGGAAGGGCTTGGGGATCTGGCAGGCGATCAGGTACGGCTGGTAAATGCCCTGCTTGTAGTTGCCCCACTTGTTGTACCAGATGTACTTGTACTCGAACGTCTTCACGATGAACGGCTCCTTCTGGCCGTCGAACCAGAACTGGCAGTAGGTCTTCACCTTGGGCTCGATCCGGTCGATCATCCCGAGGATCCGCACAGTGGGCCCCAGCAGCGAGGTGCGCCGAATGTCGTAGTAGGCCCCGAACAGCTGGAACGTGCCGTTTGAGGTTCGCAGCGTCTGCCAGTAGATGTTGTTGAACTCCAGCTCGAAAATGGATGGGTACTTGGCGCAGGTGGATGACTTCTGCTGCAGGAAGTTCTTGTTCTTGCTCCAGTAGGCGATCGGCAGCGAGGGGATGCGCGACTCCACGTCGCGGACCAGCTGGTCATCGTCCATGGCTGAGAGGGGATGGAGGGTTCATAGATTTGATTAAATATTTGTGATACTGGTATAAAGTAAGTTTGCTTTTGGAATATGTACATTAATCACAGCTTTAAAAGTAAGTTATTCTTTGAGAACAACAATATAAATACACTAGTAAGAACTAGTCATGGACAAATATTTATTTGAAGCAGATTGGGGTCACTTGGAAAGAAGTCAGTTCAAGTATAAATCAACACGGGCTCTCCATTGATTCTATCAATTTAAAGACGGTTTTTATATGTATAGATAGGTAAGCGAATTTGTACAGATTTATAGAAACAAAATAGTTATATATAATACGAGTACCAGTTGAGTAAATTATATAAAATACAAAACCCTGCTATAGTAACTTCTGCTCACCTGTTCGATTGTCCACCAGTATCTCGCTCGGATCGAAATGATCCGTGGTCGTGGAGGTGGTCTCTGCGTACCGCATGTCCTTCTGCAGCAGGATGCGTCCGTTGAGGGGCACCTGCTGGTACTCCTGCGGCACCAGATTCGTGCCGTGCATCTTGAACAGCCCGATAATGACGAAGGACCAGACGCACAGCGAAAACAGGATCTTCAGGATCACCTTGGAGTGGGCCATGATGACTGTGGGTTACTTTTTATGGCTGGGATTTCCGTTTGTTCTGCCGGAGGCGCTGAAATGAGAAAAGAGAGATGAGAAATGGTGGGTCGTTAGAAGGCGTTGCTCCTTGTGCTTCCATTCCACCATGCCCTTCCCCCTAATCATTCATTTTTAAATATGGCGGTCAGCCGGCCGGTCTATTTCCGTTTACCAACCCGAACCCGAACCCAAACCCCAGCCCCACCCCTCGTTTTCCACTTTGGTCAGGCGCAAAATGTCAAGTTGCAAACTGCGTGTAATATTTTCTAGCCCGAGGCAAGAAATCCCCGCCAGAACAAGGATACTGCGGTGGGTGTTGGGCCTTAGCCTAATGGAAAACAATCTAAAAGCGCCCCAACACTGGAGCAGGCACAGTGGTCATAAAGGAGCGAAAAGTGGTTACATTTTAAATAAAATTTTTCAAACCAAACATTTTTGAAGTCACATTTAGACAAATTCACGAGTGACTAGTCTATTTTTAGTGGGCTTCGCTGTGCGCTGATTCTTGATTACAAACACAATACTTTTATCATGGTTTTTTTTTAAAGTGTCCCTTCTGTGTTCTTTCGGGTACGTTGTGGTCCTATTTTTTCCCAGCAATTGACAACTTTTCGATTTATTTCAATCGGCACATCGACTGCAGCTCATTTCCTGTTCCATCCACTGTTCGCTTTGAAAAACACTCTTGCGTTCGGTGGTCAAGTTGGCAGCTCCCAGTTCCCCGAGTTCCCCGGCTCCCCTTTAGAGTACAGTGGCCGCCCCTAAAGGCGACACTGCAGGCGACAATCTGTTTGCCTATCTGCGCTTTGTATCTTTGCAATTGCGAGTTGTGCGTGCGACAAACGACAAAGGACAAACGACAAACGACGGACACAGGACATCGGACATTCACCATTCAGCATCCAGCATTCAGCCGTTGGAACATTGAGTCTGGCGGCAAGGCCTTCTAATATTTATGACATTGCATCTAGCTTCTTGCCACTCGAAATCCCTTTGGGTCGGGACCAATGTGTGTGTGTTGGCCCCGGGAGTTGTAAGGGTGGCCATCCTATCCCGATTCCCTGTCCAGTTTCCCTTTGTTTTGGACCCTTTAAACTATATAACTTTTTATATATTAAATGCTTTCCCACACGATAGGTGCACATGCAGTTCACCTACTGGCAAACTGCAGTTTCCCGGCACATTCGGGTATTTGTTTAAGTTGCGTCTCGAAAACTTGGTGCAACATTTTTGCAGCACTCGAAATCAGCCGCAGGGGTGTTTCAAAAAAGATGTGAGAGGCCGCCGAAGGGTGTGTGTGGGCAGCAAGTTTTTACTCAAATGTTTTCCATTTCATTTGCATGCGCCGCAAACTTTTTGCAAACACCAGGCCGAGATACAGATACAGGGAGATGTGTACAAAGATGGAGGGAAACCAAATATGTTGCAACAAGCTTTCAACAAGCCGGCCCAAAGGCGAGGGGATGAGCGGAATGGGGGGATGGGGGTGGTGATGCTGCAGGGCTCGTGAAGTATGCAGAATCACCTGGGCTCCCTTCTACCTTTTCGGCGCTTTAATCCCCAACGTTTGGAAAATTTGCTCTGGAATTTCCAACTAGATTGAATAGTTGTTTAGGGATCCAATCAGATCGCAAAGTTCAAGGCCCTCTCCTCTTGGAGTTTGCAGATTTGTATACGCCACATATAGGTATTATAGTTTGGAATCTGTAATCTGGCCCGGGGGTCCATCATTTATCATTTAGCAAAGACGCTCGCCCCGGGCTTTCACGTACCCATAAATCTGCAGAGTCTGAAAAACGATTTGGGTCAATTTGCCATTAAATACGCGTCATGCTTATGCGATTATTCCAAAGACAAGACACAAGACACCATGGACACCATATACAAAACACGGCCACAAGTACAGAATAGAACCCGACAAGTTGTTCTCGTAGCTGGCGTGTAATTTGCTAGGCAAAACAGGTTCGATCTCCGGACGGAATGTGTGTCGCACCCAGAACCCAGTACGCAGAGCACTGAGCGGGAATAAGAAACAGCCATGGAGAAGTAAAGGCAACTGAAACCAGCTTCGAGCGGTAGAAATTTTAATGATGCCTCTAACTATTTGTATTCGTATTCGTGTTCGGCTACCAAAATGGGTCAATGAGCCTCGATGACTCTTGCGATTGCCTGGCCAGAGCCTCAGAGTCGGAGCCTCTGAAGCCCAGAACTACCTCTGTGGATTGGCCTCTGCCATCGAGCATTGATCTGTGGTTCATTGATCCGCAATCTGGCGGGGAAAGAACAGAAATATGCTCGAGATCAAGAGCCACTGGCAACGAGCCAATTAATCTGGGGAGAATAGAGAGATCCTTTTATCCAAGATGTATATTTTGAGAAACACTTTGCCATGGTGCTAGAGATAGTCTAGTAAGTAACTATAGTTATAGAGATCCTCCCCCTTTTACTGTCATACGAATATTTAATATTTTAAAACTCTAGAGCTCCGAGGACACCGAGATAGCAATCAAAAGGCTTTAAAAAATAGAAATCTTTTTATCTGCAATTAGCAGGTATAAATAATAGATTAGACCTACGCAAAAACAAGCAATTATAACTCAGAACGACTAAGCAAAGTGCTTATGCGGCTTACTAGAGAATCTCCCCACTCTGAAAACATAATAAACGTAGCTGGTTGATAGATGATAGTCGGTGGTCGGGGTTGGAGGAGAAATACCTGGACATAGTACTCCTGGAGTTGGGGAAACCTTGGCGGGCACACGTAATATCTATAAATGCTGTCACATTCCGGTTGCGATCATAACTCGTTTGGGTTTTCGCTGGCTCGCTGATTGATTTATGCATGCGGTAAAGACAAACTTTAAGCTGCTCATTAGCATGCTATTTATAGGTGCGATGCCAGGTGCAAAGTCATGTCCCAGACGAATGATTCACCAGCATCAGCATCATCGTTATAGGCTTTAAACGCAAATCGGGGGATTCAATGAACCCCCAAACACTAAACTATTAAAGTACCCCCCGCTAATGACAGAGAAACCTCCAAATTAAATTAAGTGAAATGGGAGTGGATGTGGAGTGGCGAAGAAAGAATCTATATGAAAGGCCGGGTCAAAGATCCGATCGATGGGGCCGCACATTTGTATCTCCGCTGTTGGGGAAACAAAGCCAGAAGCCGAAAGCCGAAAGCCGAAAACTGAAAACTGAAAACTGAAAGCCAAAAACCAAAAGTCGAAACACGAACGCATTTAAAATGCAGAAGGCAGACGCAAAGTGGCGCAAATGAACTTAAGTATCTTGCGTGAAGTGTTGAGCATCGAGCATTGAGCATCTCGCAGATACGCCGCAGCATATGTATCTTCGCATTGGTACGAGTATCTCGTATCCGCATCTTCCGCTGTATCTCTATACGTGCACCGTACACTGTACTACACCGCGAGAAAAAAACAGCTGCCTAATACGTAATTTAATGGGAATAAAACTTAAACTGGGATTTAAGAATAAAACCAATTCACAGACGACATAGAAGAATAAGTAATAAGTAATTTCGATTAATTTCCATATTTCTGTTCTTTTTTAGTAAACTTTTTAATTAGTGTGTCTTGCTTTTTGGATAAGTTATAAGGCCAAATACTTATTTGTACTCAGGTAGACCATTCGCGTTAATGTTGCATCTTTGAAAGTGCAAATGTTTTCAACTTGAAATGAAACCACCTTTTAAAACGAATATGAAAATTATCATTTTTGTTCTCTGCGTACCTGTAGCTTGTGCTTCTGTGCGCCAGCGATTTTAATTCGCCTCACATCCTTTTATTTGCGTACGTGTGCGGCAACTTCTGTTGCCTCAGCCTCTGCCTCCTCGGTTTTCTTGGATTTCCCTGCTTTCCCGATTTCCCCACCACGATTGATAGCAAAATGATTTCTCAATATGTCGCCTAAGTTGATTTTCCGTTTTCTGATGCCAAATGAAATTTGTTTTAGCAGCATCCCCTGGCGTGTGGGGCTGCACGTATCTGCCGGATACATTTCGCTCTTGGCCAAAAAAAGAATTCAGCTTAAATTGAATTACAAATATTATATCGCACAGAACAACCGTTCTGTTCCGGTAAAAGTGTATTAGATTCGCCAGCAACGCTTTTTTGGCCATTATCGTTGTCCCAACTGCCCTCCCACTTCCCTTCCACTCCACGTGCCTCAATTGCCATTAAAAATTCGGTAAATGAACATTTAATTTCAATTAACGGCGGCGGGCAGCAAAAGCAGCTAAACAGCCAAACTGGCAAACAGGTAAAAAGCTAAAGAGCAAAACAGCAGAACAGCTAGTAAATGCTCACTAAATGTTTGCAACTAAATCGGGGAGTTCGGTTTGGGTTTCATTAACCCGTGCAAAGCCCGTCTGATTATTCGGATTATTTTTGTGCCGGACTATTTATGGCCATAAGTGCAACTTGGCAACTCGGCAAATGTATCTCATAAATTCAGCAACAACAAACCGCAGAGCAACAATAACAAGCGCCATAATAACAATCATCGTCAACACAACAGCAACAACTGCTGCATGCTGCCTGCTGCAACTGTTGTCAGTGATTTAAAATTTATAACAATTAACAACAAACAATGCGGCAAATTGTCAAAAGACATGAAACGGGCGATGACCAATATGCAAATGGAAAATGGCCAAAACGGGAAGTGGAAAATGGGAAACGGGGAATGGGAAATGGCCTGGCGAAGAGTGCCGAAACATGGCGCAATCCAAAAGGGGCGTCGGCCACGCCCCCGCCGCCCATGTTCAGAGCAATGTTAATAATGCAGGCAAGAATAAGTTGCTCCCAATACTTTGGTACCTCAGTGGGCTAAAAAGGGTTAAAAGCCTGATTGATTTCCCCCCAGCCACAATTCATAAATTTTGTAAATTATTAATTTGCTTTTAATATGGTCCGTTTTTTCTACTGCAGCTTAATTGCGTATTATGCATAGATAGGTAAGCTATGCTAATTATAAACAGAATTTAAGCCATGTAACTACATATGTGGTTTA